CTGCATGTACATATGTAGTTGCATGGTTGTATATATATAATAATTGATTCCATCCTTTACATACACTAAACATTCAAAATCTACACACACTACAAAATTACTTGATCTGCACCTATTCCACACATAAATCATACAATCAAAATATGATGAGCAGCTGATTATCATTTAATTTATTTAGAAAACAAATAATTTAACAATTTATTATGCTTTGTACAAATATTTACAACTTTTATTTCATATACTACAGTGTTCACTAAGTCTGCAATTGTTTATTGGAATTAATTTTTGGCAAAACCTTGAAATCACAACACTGCTTGAGTATTTATTTTTATGGCTCCAACTGATCACTGATCGGACATACTTCTCGTACAAATTCTAATTTGAGCATCATTTACTTTCTTGCTGGAAGTGTGGCATATTTCCCAACTCTGAATATTAGTGGTGGGGTGTCCTAAGCTAGCTAGCATTATATGGTATATTTACACATTATTTCTAAATCAATCGTACTGTGCCATGTTTGCTAATCAGGAATAGCTTTAACCAGAATTGTATCTTCGTTAAACATAGATAAACCTTCTTTAAAGTTTAGATTTTGTAAATTCTATTGCTGTTATACTGATCGTGTTAGTAAATTTAACCCATAAGTAGGTCATATTTTAATGTTTCATACCAATTGATAGGCCCTTGTTTTTATTCTGAATTTCAACACAGTGTCCCACTGCACCAATCAATATATATAGGGCTTGAGGCAAATTTTAACAGTCAGTAGGGAACGCTTTTTCTTAAGCACATGATCCTACCCAAAGAAATTCAAGGGGTACTTGTTCAATAAAATGTTACACCTTTGTATGATTATACATGTACACTTATCCGAGTTAGATCAACGTTCTTTTCTCCAGTTTTCTCGTAAGGTTAGTTTGATATGTACATGTACAGCTGTATTCCAATAAATAGGGAATAATATTTCCAGTAATAATGTTAGTAAAGTTTCCTTTTAATTCAGATATAAAATAGATTTTAAACATTTAATCTGTTTTTCGTTTATGTATTTTGCTTATATATTCCTGGTATCTACATGTGTAGTCAATACATGTGTACATGTTTCTTTGATCTACTCATCACCAAAATCTTGGATACTATTTTATAAGGGTCATCACATCGACTCCATGTATAATTGGGGGTTAGGTTTAAATTTACAGGGAATCATTTACATCAATCATGATGGGTATTGGCTTGTGCATGGCTACTTCTGCCGCTCTACCCCCACCCATATGGTGGCGGAGTTCCCTACCACAAAGAACTTGTGGTCAGGAACTTGTGGCGTAAACGAGCGGCACTAAGTAACTATCCTAATATGCAGTCATGTAACTCATGAAAGTTGAAAAGTAAACTTTGGATTTAGATATACATAAATAAGTGCTTGACCTCTGCACCTCCCAGGGTCAAGGCTTTTACCACTTTCTCATATGGTGTTTGTGAACTTTGACCTTTGAACTTTGAACCTGAGTTTGAATATTTAATATGTAATATTTGCTTTGTTGTGTTGCCAGAGACACCAATAGCTTTTCATAATTTGTGTCTCTGGATAAACAGCCGTGCCCAATTATCGCCACAATAAAATTTATTAAATTCATACTTGATGTTTTTATATGCACTTATCTGAGATAATATTCAAAGCTAATTCACTCTGAATTAGCTGCTTTTATCGAAGAAAGTGCATAATTGCTTTACCTAAATCTCATTACTTATTTCTAGTGATTATTGTTCTTGTCAAATATTTAGCTGATTATTCCCCCTTTTAATAAAAACACCTGAGGGCGCTTTGGTTGCAACTTCCTTTTTCAATATTCCAGCATCATCTTGGGTTGGTAAAAATTTTCCAGCTTGTTATTGTGTATTATAAATTTGAAACACCCACCCACCTCACCCATTTAGAATAGATACTGCTTTTTCTGGTTCTTTTTAATGCTTTCAGACAAAGACTTTTAGTGAATATCAAGCTCAACATGACAGGACTTGCGAGATGAAACCAGGACTTTAGGGAACAGCCAAGGGGATTGAACCACAAGTATCTCTATGGACTCGCAGCATTCTGGACTTTGAAGACATTTAATGTGAAAGTGATGTGAGGAACAACCATTTATTTGGAAGTGATTCATTCCAAGAGCAAGTCATGCACCATTTCCAGGAGCCGATAACTTTCCTCTAACCACAAACATTAAACAATAATGTGGATTAATAGAATCTGGTACGACTGTCCGTTTCTTTCCAGCTGAAATGTGCGTAAACGAGCGGCACTAAGTAACTATCCTTATATGCAGTCATGTAACTCATGAAAGTTGAAAAGTAAACTTTGGATTTAGATATACATAAATAAGTGCTTGACCTCTGCACCTCCCAGGGTCAAGGCTTTTACCACTTTCTCATATGGTGTTTGTGAACTTTGACCTTTGAACTTTGAACCTGAGTTTGAATATTTAATATGTAATATTTGCTTTGTTGTGTTGCCAGAGACACCAATAGCTTTTCATAATTTGTGTCTCTGGATAAACAGCCGTGCCCAATTATCGCCACAATAAAATTTATTAAATTCATACTTGATGTTTTTATATGCACTTATCTGAGATAATGCATGAATATTATTACCTGTAATAAAACCTTTCCAAATAAATCATGACTTTTACTCTGTGACCTTGACCTTGAAGCCTAACCTACTTTTCAAAAATGTTGCATTTGCTGATAACTTTTGATTGAGATGAGATATGACTCTCACATTTGACATGTACATTAATTACTCATAAGAATTCAAGGTGTTTCCCAGCATGCAATGCTTTTTTACCCCATGACGTCGAGGTTTTACATAATTTTCAAAATATTTAACTGGCCTAAAAGATGATTAGGCTTCTGAGTAACATTTCCACCCCCATTTGACCCCCCGGGGAAAAATCAAAATTCCGAAACCTTACTGTACATCTACCTGACACCACCAACCATCTCCAAAAAGGTAATTAGGCTGCTGAATAAAATGTAAGAGGAGTTCAGGGAAGACTTTTTGCATAAAAAACATCATTTTTCGACCCCCATTTGACCCCCCGGGGAAAAATCAAAATTCCGAATCCTTACTGCACATCTGCATGACACCACCAATCATCCCCCAAAAGGTGAAATACATGTAAATATATATTCCCTCAGACAGAACTAGATTTGACCACTGCTACGCAGCTTCTTTAACACCTTATCCTTATGTGACGTCATCTGCTCTCTTGCTTTCCAATATTTGTGCAGGACAAGGGGTCAGGGTAGTCACACTCAGTCAGTGTGGGACACCGCGCTATGTGCATATTTGACACACAATCTGCCATAAATTATGGCATCCCATTCACTAAAACACAGAAAGCAGAGGACCACAATTCTTTGAATTTGCTTGTATAACCTTGATATGGAAACATCCTCATATAATGTAAAATCAAGTTTTTTAACCCACGCCATTATTAGGAATACTTGTGCAGTAAAACTCGTTTAGTACAAACACGGATATAGCGAATTCACTGATATAGCAAAGTATTTCTGGGTCCCCGGCAAAATTCTTTACAAATCTTAGTAAAATTTTACGGTTGTAACGAACTCTGAGAGAACGAATTTACGGCTATAGCGAACTTATTGTGAGTCCCGTTGAGGTTAAATATAATGAAATTTAAATCTTTTATAACGAACTTTCAAAGATCTTAAAATTTGTTAAATTAAACTGACGTTATTTCCTTTAGCATTTGTATATAAAGTTCAATTCAATTCATAATAAAACCTTAGTTATCCAAGGTATGTTTTGTAATATTTGCTTTCCCAACATATTCAATAGTAACACTTGAAGGAAAACATGCATATTGCGAATTCACTATGTATGGTTGTACGAATTCCTTATACGGATATAACGAATTACGGATTTAGCGATTAAATCCAGAGGTCCCCAGGACTTCGCTAACCAAGTTTTACTGTATAGTTTTTGTCATGTCCGTCCTCTACCCTTCCTTCTGTCTTTCCATCGGGTTAAAGAAACTTTCTAGATATTTTTATCAAAGTTCATATGTTGATGAATACTGATGTAAACTATCCAACTGCAGCAATATTTTTTGACCTTGACTTTTCCTTTGACCTTCTTTTCTTTAAATTAGTGTTTAGCTTTATTTAAAAAAAAACCCATTCAAGTTGTGTAATAAAACGTCACATGATGATACATACTGATGTAAGCTTTACAGTGCTTCACTCTTTTTTTATCTTGACCTTTCTTGTGACCTTGACCTCACTTTTCTAAAATTAATGTCTAGATCAGCTTTGAATAAACAATTCAAGATATATTTATCCAACTTCATATGCTGATACATACTGCTGAGAGCTATTAATGCATCAACTTATTTTGACCTTGAATTCTCTTTTGACTATGACTTCACTTTGTAAAATATGTGTTAATCTAAGTTTTAAATAAACCATTAATAATTTTTTTATCTGTGAAAAAATTTCCTGCAACCATATTCTTTCTGTGGTCAGTCTTTCGAGGTCTAAACTTACGGACAGTGCAACCAGAAGCGCGCACCACCCTTGCAAATGTTAGAAATTCGTCGTCAAGCTCGATCTACTGCTTAAAAAATCCGAGAAATGGCTATACGAGTACAAAAATAAAAATTAGGTTTCAACAAACGTACATTATTATATGAGATCATTTCTGGTGTACAGTTACGGTTTAATTTTATTAAATAAATTAATTATATCACAATGTTTTACCCATAATTATAGCGTAATTTAGATAATGAGTTTGTAAATTAGGGAATTAAATTAAATAGCAATGAATTAAAAATACTCGGCAAACACTGTTGCACATGCACATATACTTTCGTGTGTACTAAAAAAAGATGAGAAATGTTAATGTAGAATGTTAAATATACAAATGTTGTTCTGTTTGAAATAAATAATTTAGAGAAAGCCAATAGTCAAAAACTGTTAGACTTACACGTACAACCACTCGAAAATACAGATGAAGTAATGAAGTCGGATTAAGATCTAAACCTCATTCAAACTTCCTGTCTGTTTAGAGTGTTTCAAATTGCTAAAATTAGAAAAAAAAAATACAAGAAGAGCATATTAAAGTACCACTATTCAAGCTTAAAATTCTGTAAATTGTGTAACTGTCGCAAGTGCATATAGAAGTAAGTATATATCTTATTTTCTTTGTTAAATAATATAAAGAAAGAATCGCTTGTAGAAAAAAAAATCCAATGGAATAATTAGGCATTTTGAATTTTAGAAGTTGGGCTGATATCGACAGTGTTTCAAACACAAATCGGGTTTGGAAATTTGATATTTTGGATATTTGAAGTAAATTAAACTTCTAAAATCTCAAATTGTAAAAAAAGTGTTTTTGGTTATTTAAGATTTGAATGTTTTAATCAAACTTTGAAATTTCAAATATTCTAAAACATTTGAAAGTTAATTTGGAAATTTGAATTTTGAATATTTAATGTAAAAATCTAAATAATAAAAAATTTAAAAGTTGTTTTGAAATTGGAAAATTTAGATTTTTGAGCTAAAAATATTAAATTTTAATATACAAAATCTGTTTAAGTTCTTGAAATTTAGATATTTGAACTTATGCTTGTATACATTCTAAACTTTTTATTTTAGAGAATTGAATTGTTTAGTGTTACACGGACGTACACGGACCACATTGTATGCATACATTCAAAGAAAGTGATGCAGAGTGTCACAAGACGTGTTTTCGATGGGTTTACTATTATATGTATACTTTAAGATGAGCAAAATTGGTAACCAATAAATTTAACTTCCTCATTCATCCCAAATGTGAAAAGTTCAGTAATCTGTTTTGCAGTTCTTGTTTTTACTTATCTTGGAAATAATGCTATTTACTCCACAAGTGATTGTAGCATTTGGAATAATAACAATTCATGAGTATTTCTGTTTCGGTAAGTTTATTTTCATCATCATGCAATAAGCTTGCTCCCTTACTATGAAATGTTCTTGAAGTTATCAAAAGATATGACCTTTAAGCACTCTACACAACCATCCTTCATGATACTCCATGATAAGGAAATTCCAACCTATGCTTTCTTGTTTTCTATTTAGCGTGCGTAGTTCTTCGCCAACTGAGAGTAGGGCGAAAGGGTGGATATATAACACGGGGGAGATTTTTTCCCTGAATGAAGTTGGCAGAATACATGAAGCAATAGTATGGCATAGTCCCTTAATTAAAGAGGCTTTTACGAATAAAACAAATACGACTTACAAAACAAGCCTAAATGATCGCACATCGACATTCTCAAAATTTCATTAAAATTTTGCCTATTTTCACTCTTTCGCCAGATTCGCAATTGCTTCCAGGTTGTGCTAAATGACCTTAGCTACTGTACCACACAAAATTCAGACCAACATCTGTGCATACCATTGGATACCGATGCAAATCACTTGTTTTCCACGTAACACAAAGGACAAACTAAGCAGTGCGTTACTATATCTCCTCCGACTGCAATGCGAGGTAATATTTGAAATGCTCAGCCTTAAAGGTCTTCCGTAACAAAATGACATTCAAATGAAATGAAGGAAAAAATATTCTGAAGAAAAGCATTGGAAAGAAGAAAAAATATTCAGTTAGCCCGTTGACGGATTGGTATGCATGTACTTTCTATTGGACCCTATCATAAAGTGCGAAGTTTATAGTGAGCATCCAACAACCGCGTATAATGGGTCAGGCCTGGTTACTAGTCGATAGCTCCCTACTATCTAATGATTATAAGTAGTATCAAATTTTGAAAGTTAATAATAAAAGCTGTTCATTTTGTTGCCTTAAATAATTTGGAATCGAAACCAGTTTCTGTAGACCAAAACAAGATTGAGTTGAAAGTCGGTAGGGAACTATGGCAAACATTTTACATGTAATATAAAGAGCCCTTTAACAAAATAGCTAGACTAAAACTTGTGACACTGAAACTAAATGAATACTATTTGCACTCCTGACTACACTCTGCTAAGTACTTTTGATACCAAATCATCAACATGTATGGAGTATTCAACGACATGTATAAACATTTAACTACAAGGAAGAAAAAACAAAAATCGCCTGCTGGTGTTTTAGTCCAATAATACGACTTTAAAACGCCTATAGAGTATATAATAACTTGATAAAAAGCATTTTATAAGAAAGTACTAGTATGTAAATGCAAGGAGATCCAAACAATTAACCAGCAAGTTTATTTTGCTATGTCTGAACTTTCACTTAATTTAAAATTTTCTCTAATAGTGTAGTTTTAAATACACAGTATCTATTAAGACAAAAGATAGTCCTAATAATTCATTATGCTTAATCGTAATAATTTT